AACTACTGATTTCTGGAGTTCTAGTTCGGTTATTATCTAAAGTGATCTACCTATATAGGACAAACAGTATCCTAGTTCGGTTGCTACTTGATTTGGGATTCAAGACTAATTTTCTACAGAATTGGTCTTACACGCATAAGTTCTGTTAATGTTTTTTCAAGGAAGTATTGAGGCGAAGCAGAAATGGAAAAAAATATATTTTGCAAAAATACAGTAAATAAAACGCATAGAACAAATGCACAAAACAAACAGAACAGGGAAGATGGATCTGTTTACTAGATTAAAGAAGGGAGAGCTGGAGACGAAAACAGTGGCAGCAAATGAAGAACACAAGCTTGGTAGTTGGAAAAGCAGAGGCACGAAGAGAGAAGATGAATAGAATAGGTGATTGATCCAAGAATAAAAGGGCTGTTTTGTGAAAAGGGAGAAAGGGAAAAAAAGCGGGAACTGTTCAAAATTTTCGTGGTACGAGGGCGGCGTGACAGCTGCTCACAGCCTGCCACGTGTCATTGGTAAGTGAAGCGTTACAGTCAGTGATTGAAGAGACGTTTTGACCGGACAAGCGGAACTCGGAGTAAAGCACGTTCGGCTAGAGAGGCTAAAGGAGGTTTTTTAGTTCAGCTGGAAAGGCTTAAAAACGTTAGCTCGGCTGGTCACTAGGTAATCCCAATCATGCTGTGCAGATGGAATTAAGGGGCAATTGAGAGGGTAATTTTTGGTGAAAATTGGGCCGAGCTATGAGATAGACTTCATGGCCCAAAGTACGACGGACTGGGTAAAATGGGCCGAGAAGTTACTCCGGCCCAAGAGAAATAAAGTTACTTCGGCACAGGAGTTGTGAAGCTACTTCGGTTTGGACGACTTGGAGTTAGTCCGGTCTCCGAGTTAGTCCGGTCATGGCATATTCTGGATAGATCGGTCAAGGCCTTGCTGCTCGGTAGCTTGGTCCCAACATATCATGATTCATGCAAAGGAGAACCGAAATGAGAAGTAAAAGGAAGGACCGAACTAAGGATAGTTCGGCCTACTTTGTGGCTCAGCATGGCCAGTTTTACTTCGGTCAATTGGTAGTTCGGCCGCGGTAAAAACCATCCCACTTGGTTTAAGCAGTGGGGGGTATAAAAGGATAAGTATTATCCTTTAGAAGTATGAATCCTAGGAGGACTCTACATGGAGAAATAAAAGTCCTACTAGGATTATGCCACTCGAAACCTATAAAAGCTCACAAGCACCACCTTGGAGGAGGTAATTGAACACAATTCTTTCTGAGAACATAAAACTTTGTCTATTTGTCAAGCTTACTGACTTAGGCATCGGAGAGGTTTCCGGCACACACCCGCCGGCTAGCTCACGTTTGTTAGGGGAAGCTCAGAAGAATTACGACGATCCGGATCATTGAACCGTCAAGTGAGCAGGGAGATCATAAGACCAAATTTGTCCATTGGAGAAGGCATAGGTCAGTTGCTGCTTAGCCTACACTTACTATGCTTGCCTATATGTCTGCTGTCTCAAACGAAAGCCCCGACTTTCGTGGATCTGTTTTGTTTTCAATACTCTGATTATCAAGAACTTGTCTTCTTTCAATTCGGTTAAGAATTATGCATATTTTTGCAATTTTTTTCATGTCGGAGTTTGTTACTTTGCATTTTACTCTTTTACGATGTTGGTGTTCACTCTAATTACGTTAATTGCTAACGTGGCATGGCTTAACGAGTTCATTCATATTGTTGAATCGATGCATGGACCTTGTGGTGAAATGAATCCAAACAACATTTGCATGAAGAATGGAAAATGCAAAAATCATTATCCCAAAAATTTTGAACCTATAACAAGATCTTCCAAAGACTCATACCCAATATACAAGCGTCGTGCTGATGGTAATCAAGTGAAAATCAGAGGGCAAATTTTGGATAACCGTTGGGTAGTTCCGTACAATCCATATCTTCTTGCCAAATATGATTGCCACATTAATGTGGAAATTTGTTCAACAATCAAAGCTGTCAAATATTTGTACAAGTATATTTACAAAGGCCATGATAAAATTGCATTTTATATTGTTTAAGAAAATCAATCAAAAATCATAGATGAAATCCAACAATTTTAGTCCGCAAGATGGATTTCACCTCTAAAGGCAATGTGGAGAATTTATGCATTCTCTTTGAATGACATATACTCATCAGTAATTCATCTTCAAATCCACCTTGAACACCAACAATTTGTTACTTTCAATCCTTCAGATGACCTAAATTCTGTGTTAAATAATCCCATCCGTTCGAAAACAATGTTGACTGAATTCTTTTTGATGAACAAGTCAAATGAGAAGGCGAAGCTTGGAAAATATTTATATAAGGAATTCCCTGAACATTTTGTTTGGTGGCAACAAGATAGAATGTGGACTGAGCGAAAAAAAGGGCAATGTTATTGGGCGCATTGTCACAGCACATCCTGCACAAGGTGAAAGATATTACCTTAGGTTACTTCTAAACAACATCAGAGGCCCTACATCATTTGAATCCTTGAGAACCATAAATGGAAGAAAAGCAAAAACTTTTCGAGAAGCTGCCCTTCTCTATGGTCTCTTACAATCAGACAACAATCTTGAACAATGCTTGGAGGAAGCAATCTCTTACCAAATGCCTTACTCTCTAAGAAGATTGTTTGCAACCATTCTCATTCATTGTGCTCCTAATAATCCAAAGCAGTTGTGGGAAAAATTCAAAGACTACAAGGCAGAGGATTATGCCAAAACAACAAATCTTTCAAAAGAAGAAATTTTCAAAAAAGTTCTACAAAGAATAAATTTAACCCTTCAATCAATGGGCAAAGATATTAAAGATATCTTCTTCAGGAGATTAGAACACATAGATCCTTTGAACTCTGTACAAATTATTATTAGATCTGATGTATCATTAGATCAGAGAGTCTACAATCAACCTTCAACCTCACAAGTGGCAGCAATTTGGTCTGAAAATGATGTCTTAACCAAAGAAATCTCAAGAGATATTGTTGTTCATCAAATTTCTGGTCATAGTGAAAAAGTTCAATGGTATTTTGGATGTTATGACCCATTACAATATCTATTGTTTTTTCCATATGGTGAATCTAGATGGCATTATGGTATTGAAAGAGTTAACAAAAACCAAACAAAAATCACATGCCATCAACAATCTATTCTTAGTGTTCATCAAGCTACTACTGCTTCAGACCTTTCATAAAAGAAGCCCAAGGTAAATAGATCCTCTCCTTATCAATTAAATAGTATTCAAAATTTTTTACTCATAACTAAAAAAAATTTATTTTAGTGTTTCAGAAACAAAAGAATAAGAAAACTACCATTTCTTGTCATGAATACTACTGCTACAAGCTCCAAATACGACCCAATGATTCTTCAATCTTACTCCACTCTGGTCATCTCTTTCAGCAGTATTATGTTGATATGTATGTCAAGATTGAAACATCTAGACTTCAGTTCTTTCGAAACAAACAAAGAGAAATTAGGGCTGATTTGTATCAAGGAATCATAAACAGTGTCACAATAGGTGAAGGTAGAGGTTCAAAGATTGGTCACAAGGTTATACTACCACCGTCATTCATAGGTAGTCCAAGAGATCTTAGACGTCGATATGTTGATGCAATGGCTTTGGTCCAACGATTTGGCAAACCTGATATCTTTCTTATAATGACTTGTAATCCAGCATGGCCAGAGATTAAAGCCGAGTTAGGACCTAATGAGGAAGCTCAAAATAGACCAGATTTAACCTCTCGTGTTTTAGAGCAAAAATGGAACAACTGAAGGATGACATCATAAAACATCAAATCTTTGGAAAAGTCGTTGCATATGTCTTTATCATTGAATTTCAAAAGAGAGGTCTTCCACATATGCATCTATTGTTAATTCTAGCAATTGGACAAAAGCCTTTATCTCCTGATACTTATGATTCAATTGTATCTGCTGAACTTCCTGATAAAAAAAACATCCTCATTTGTTTTCTGTGGTGGTAAAACACATGATGCATGGACCTTGTGGTGAAATGAATCCAAACAATATTTGCATGAAGAATGAAAAATGCAAAAATCATTATCCTAAAAATTTTGAACCTATAACAAGCTCTTCTAAAGACTCATACCCAATATACAAGCGTTGTGTTGATGGTAATCAAGTGAAAATCAGAGGACAAATTTTGGATAATCGTTGGGTAGTTCCGTACAATCCATAGCTTCTTGCCAAATATGATTGCCACATCAATATGGAAATTTGTTCAACAATCAAAGCTGTCAAATATTTGTACAAGCATATTTACAAAGGCCATGATAAAATTGCGTTCCATATTGTTCGAGAAAATCAATCAGAAATCATAGATGAAATCCAACAATTTCAGTCCGCAAGATGGATTTCACCTCCAGAGGCAATGTGAAGAATTTAAGCATTCTCTTTGAATGACATATACCCGTCAATAATCCATTTTCAAATCCACCTTGAACACCAACAATTTGTTACTTTCAATCCTTCATATGACCTAAATTATGTGTTAAATGATCCTATCCGTTCGAAAATAATGGTGACTGAATTCTTTTTGGTGAACAAGACAAATGAAAAGGCAAAGCTCGGAAAATATTTATATAAGGAATTCTCTGAACATTTTGTTTGGTGGCAGCAAGATAGAATGTGGACTGAGCGAAAAAAGGGCAATGTTATTGGGCGCATTGTCACAGTACAATTTGCACAAAGTGAAAGATATTACCTTAGGTTACTTCTAAACAACATCAGAGAGCCTACATCATTTGAATCCTTGAGAACCATAAATGAAAGAAAAGCAAAAACTTTTCGGGAAGCTGCCCTTTTCTGTGGTCTCTTATAATCAGACAACAATCTTGAACAATGCTTAGAAGAAGCAATCTCTTACCAAATGCCTTACTCTCTAAGAAGATTGTTTGCAACCATTCTCATTCATTATGCTCCTAATAATCCAAAGTAGTTGTGGGAAAAATTCAAAGACTACATGGCAGAGAATTATGCCAAAGCAACAAATCTTTCAAAAGAAGAAATTTTCAAAAAAGTTCTACAAAGCATAAATTCAACTCTTCAATCAATGGGCAAAGATATCAAAGATTTCAATATTTGCTCTGACAACATGATCTCATCTGATATTCGAGATACCTGCCGCGAAATTGAAGAAAAAATGAATATTGTTGTTTCTGAAGCTGATTACCAGTCTATTTCCCTATTATCCTCAGAACAAAAAGTAGCATTTGACAAAATCTTAAATAGGGTCTACTCAGGAAATCAAGGGTGTTTTTTCATAGATGGTCTTGGAGGCATTGGTAAGACCTTTTTATACAAGGCATTGTTGGCAACAATTAGATTCAAGAATTACATTGCTCTTGCAACAACAATATCTGGAGTAACAGCCTCTATTCTCCCAAGAGTCCGCACAACCCATTCTCGTTTCAAAATACCTATAGACGTTGAAACATATAAATCTTGCAACATAGGTAAACAAACTGGGCTTGCAAATCTTTTGAGAACTGCAAAACTAATCATTTAGGATGAGGCACCTATGGCCAAGAGGCAAAACATTGAGGCATTGAATGATATGCTGAAGGATATCAATGAGTCAAAATTACTCTTTGGAGGCAAAGTTGTAGTTTTGGATGGTGATTTTCGACAAATACCACCAGTCATTCCCAAAGGAACAAAATATGATTCAATTGATGCTAGCTTGGTCAATTAAGAATTATGGAAATCTTTTGAGAAAGTAAAGTTGACTGAAAATATGCGAGCAAGGCATGATCCTTCCTTCAGCAATTACTTATTGCGCATTGGCAATGGATCTGAATCGGTCAATGATCAAAACAAAGTCAAATTACCAGCATCAATGATAATTTCCAACAAATTTTCAAATGCTGAAAATTCTATCAAAAACTTGATTCAAAAGGTGCTTCCAAATCTCAAGAACTACTCAAAAGATCCAATTTCAATGATTATTATGTTGTGCTCACTCCAAAAAATGATTGTGTACAAGAAATAAATGATTTGTTGATCAAACAATTCTCAATAAAAGGTAGATTATATACAAGCATCGACAAAACAATCGATCCAAATGATCAAGGACAATATGAAGACTTCTTGAATTCTCTTAAACCAAATGGTCTCCCACTTGATCATTTAGAATTGAAAATCAATAGTCTAATCATGACTTTACGAAACATAGATCCTTCAATAGGCTTGTGCAATGGAACGCGACTTATTTGTCGAGATCTCAAAGATTTCATCATTTGTGCTAAAATTGCTATTGGGGATCGGAAAGGACAAATGATTTTCATACCACGAATACCATTGCAACCCTCAGATCAACAAAAATATCCAATTCAGTTTACTAGAACACAATTCCCAGTAAAGTTGTGTTTTGCCATGACAATAAATAAAGCACAAGGCCAGACATTACAAAAAGTAGGTTTTTACCTACGAGAGCCAATATTCTCCCATGGACAACTTTATGTTGCTCTATCACGAGCTACAACTATTGCAGATGTTAAAGTTCTTATTCCACCAACAAATCAATGTGATTTGGATAACAATATCACAAAAAATGTTGTTTATGAAGAACTACTAACACTTGCAGACTGTATATAATTTATTTTTTTGTTGTAAATTTTTGGTAAATTTCATCTTATGTAATGTAATCTTAATTTTATTTGTATTTATTATAATTATCTATTATCCTTATAGTAAGTTCTTACTAAATTGTTTCTTATAACAAATTTTGCAGGATGAATGAAGAAATAACACCCATCAAGAAAATAACTAGCACAACTAAAGAATGGACAACAAATATTCATGTTTTGGAAAAGTAGAATCCACGAATCCCAAAAACAAGCTCAACAAGATATCAAAGGCTCATTTTGGCTGATGTAGAGGTTACACTTTGAAATTCTTATTTTCAAATATATACCACATTTACCATATTCATTTTTTAGGTTCTTAACAATAACAATTTTCATTTAATTCATAATTACATAATCCACTGCCTCATTGATTTCTGTTATGCACACCACTTATATAGGGTACACAAGTTCAAGCTATACTTTCTGAAGATCAAATAGAATAGTTAAAAGATACCTTGAAAGTTTTTAACTTATACTATGTATCAAATGCTGCTGTGAAGTTGCTACAAGAAAAATACCGTATCACACCACAGTCATGGCAATGGCAATGGACAATCACTGCTAGCACACTTATTCGAGATGTTGAAAATAGTAATGAAGATAACAACGCCCCAACATATCACTTCGTACCATTCAATGAATTTTCTAACGATTTTGGCAATGAAACATCATCCATAGGTAATTTTCTTAGATCAACATAAATAATTATCAACTTACTTTTTCATTATATACTCTTATTGTGTTTGTATCTATAACAGATATTCTTGCAGCAGTTGTTCAAATTAAGCCACCAAAAACAATCACAACAAAAAATGGAACCACAACTGCACAAGAAATTGTACTCATTAATGAAGAGTAAGTATTTTGTATACTTGCGTTTAGTATAACTTGATTTCAATACTAACAAATTCTCTTAATTATAGCAGGTCAATGCCAACAATTTTAACTTTGTGGGGTCAATTCGTCACTAATGAAGAAGAGAAGTTGCAAGCCATTGCTCAATCCTTCACAACTTTAATTGCAGTCAGGCTTAAAGTCTCATCATTTCGCGGTAATTATAATTTTACCACATTATGCTAAATATTAAAAATATATAAAACATATTTTTTTTATTTTATTTTTTGCAAGACAGTCATTATCAACAAAACCAACATCAGCTTTTGTGCTCAACCCCAACTTCAAAGCTGCACACCAACTTCACAATTGGTACTATCTAATTCAAATACTTTAACTCAAATAATAATTTCTCACAAACACTAATATCAAAATAAACTGATGCAGGTGCATTCAAAATGAACAAGTCATTAGAACTTTAACTTCTCCACTTAAAACTCATGTTTGAAACATTACAACTCCAAGTCCTAAAGTAAATAAAATCATTTCCATCAGCAACATTCCATCTTCTCCAAATGTGGTAAACTTCATACACATTCTTCTTCTCTTTAAGCATCTTAAATATATCATTAGTAACCATTGCTAATCGCTTGTTACTAGAAAATGTACTGGGTCAAAGCAATTATGTCCATCACCTCACTTGATCAATCTTTTTGGTATATGGGCTGCAACAATTGCTACAAATCCATAAATGCAAAATATCAAATTGTTTTTGACTGTTTTCACTGTAAAAAAAAAAAAAGAGTTTTTGCAGAATCGAGGTAACAACAAACTAACCCTACACCTTTTAATATAAATAATGTTTTATATTTAATAAAACTAACATATAATTTACTACAAACAAATAGTGTCAAATTCCAAGTTGAACTCAGGCACCGTTTGGGAAGCAAAACTTAGGCTAAATTAGCCACGTTCGGACAAATTAGGCTTATTTAGCCACATGGAGACAAAATTGCATTCACGGGTACGTTTGAAACCCTTATTGGGGTAAATTTACCAAAATACCCTGAAGAGATCCCTCCGATTCTGAGGGACAACGCCTCATTACACACATAGCCTTCCCAAACGGCACACAACAAGCGAAATAGGCGATTCATGTATACCAGCGGCGACGACGACATCTGAACCAGCTTCGCAGAGGCGATCGGCACCGGAGTACGCATCCGCGGCGGCGAACAAAAACCAACCCTCTCAAACACAAACCGATCTGCAGGTAATGCTTTATGGCCTAACTGATTTCGTTTCCCTTTTCACGTCTGTGTGGCCCCTGCTTCCGATCTGCATAGTATGGGTTCATAACGGGTTGGGTTCTTGACCGATCTATTTGTTTACCGTCGTGATTGGGTTGATTACGGTTACATTTCACACATTTGGAGCAGATAGATATATGTATATATATATATCTGTGAAAAATTATATATCTGTTCTTATATTAAACACTGTAAATCTGTTCGGTTAGGGTTGATTATGGTTACATTTCACACATTTGGGGCAGATATATATATATATATTAATATATATCTGTTCTTATTTATATAGCTGTTCTTATATGAAAATCTATAAAATCTGTTCGGTTTGAGTTCATTACGGTTACATTTCACACATTTGGGGCAGATATATATATATATATATTAATATATATCTGTTCTTATATGAAAATCTGTAAAATCTGTTCAGTTTAAGTTCATTACGGTTACATTTCACACATTTGGGGCAGATATATATCTGTTCTTATATATAAATCTGTTTGATTTGAAGGCAAATATATGTATCTGTTCTTATATTTTCATGTAGATCAACCAATGGTAAAGATTAAAAAACAGTCAGCATATGAAAAATAAAACAACCTGTTCTGTTCAAAACAGTCTGTTCTGCATTTCTTTTTTTTTTTCTTCTTATAATTCACATTGCAAATTATCAATTTCAGATCACAATTTCAAACACAAACCAATCTGCAGGTAATGCTTTATGGCCTAATTGATTTCGTTTCCCTTTTCGCGTCTGTGTGGCCCCTACTTTCGATCTGCATCGCATGGGTTCATAACGGGTTGGGTTTATGACCGATCTGTTTGTTTACCGTCATGATTGGGTTGATTACGGTTACATTTCACACATTTGGGGCAGATATATATATATATATATATGTGAAAAATTATATATCTGTTCTTATATTAAACATTGTAAATCTGTTCGATTAGGATTGATTACGGTTACATTTCACACATTTGGGGCAGATATATATATATAAAAAAATTAATATATATCTGTTCTTATTTATATATCTGTTCTTATATGAAAATCTATAAAATCTGTCATATTTGGGTTCATTGCAGTTACATTTCATACATTTGGGGCAGATATATATATATATATATATATAAAAATATATACCTGTTCTTATTTATATATCTGTTCTTATATGAAAATCTATAAAATCTGTTCGGTTTGGGTTCATTACGGTTACATTTCACACATTTGGGGCAGATATATATCTGTTCTTATATATAAATCTGTTCGGTTTGAAGGCAGATATATGTATCTGTTCTTATATTTTCATGTAGATCAACCCAAGGTAAAGATTAAAAAACAGTCAGCATATGAAAAATAAAAACAACCTGTTCTGTTCAAAACAGTCTGTTCTGCATTTCTTTCTTTTTTTTTCCTTATAATTCACATTACAAATTATCAATTTCATATCACAATTTCAAATTTATGTATACAACTGCTGACTGATGACATCAATTCTGTGAATGAATATCAATTTCTGTTACAAAATTCATTTTAGTCAATATTGGTAATTTGATTACTTATCACTGTCATGATAAACTTCATTTATGATCCGTGAATTACCTATTGATCATTTATGAAATGGTCGGTCAATGAATAAAGAAAACACATGATCTGAATGGGTTTTGTCATTTTTGAGTCAATGATAGAGACGATGTCTCCATCTGTGAAATACCTGTTAATTTATTGTTAAGTGAATTACCTATTGATTTGTCAATGCTGAAGAGAATGTCTCCATCTCTCTTCCAAAAAACACTCCTCACAGGCAGTCTTGATTCTTATACGGTCACATTTTTGGGTTGTCCTTATTCAACTTCATTTCTTCAAACACTATTACCTTCATTATGTTACATGTAAATAAAACCCTCTGCTTTCTTCATTCATA